TTCCTTATACAGCTGTTGTTTTTATGACAATGTCAGTGCATTCATTTTGGGGATGTTGGCCAACCTAATAATTTCAAATTATGATTTGTAAGCAAAGTCAAAACAAGCTCTCCCTGACAGCTAGTGATGAGCTGGGGGTTGGGGGGAAAGGCTTCAGGACCAGATTGTATTTACATTCACACCTAATCTACCTAGGTGTACAGCAAACAGAGCTGTGTTGCCCAAGCGATAGATTTTGGCTCGCGGTCTCACTCCATATAGGTCCTGTCATGAGGGCAGGGGACTGGACTCGATGACCTCTTGAGGTCCCTTCCAGTCCTAGTATTCTATGATATAGTCTTTTGTTTTGTTAAGTGACCACTACAGTTGAAATCACTGATAATCAGGTCTAAGTGCTTAGTCTTACTATGGAGACAGTGTTCCTGTGGGTACAGTGTTTTCGTGTAAGAAACAGCCCAGACTGCACTAGCAGCGAGGTTCCCCCACTGAGAGGAGCAGGGAGGTTCCCCCACTGAGAGTTCAGCTGAAATCACTGAGAGCTGGGTGGAACCTCAAGACACCAGCTCGCAGAGGTCACAGCGGCAGGTGGCAGCAGAAGGTGACAGCGCAGGGCCATTTGCAACCGAGCAATGGAGTGAACAGTGGCACAACAAACAAACATGGCCAGAGCAAACAGTGAGCAGCTAGAGGAACAAGAAAGGTGCCTTCTTGCCCCCCCCCATCTGTGAAGTGTACTCACATGAAAGCACCTCTGAACTCAGTCTCCACTGACCAAGGACAACACCAGTGAGTGGGGTGAGGTGGAGGGAAAAACGAGGGGCACGTTAAATAAACATTTGTTTGTTGGACTATAATTTTAGTGACTTTGCTCCAGAATGCTAGATTTGTAACTAGGAATGGAAACTTATATAAATGTGTTTCCTATTAGGCCAAGATTTTTAAAATGTATTATTTGCCAAGTTTGTTATCTCACATCATTGCTATCTTGAGAGGTCATTATGTTGGGAAGTTTCTGTACTAAACATTTTTGTTGTTATAATTAATTTTTACATAAGAATGGTCACACTGGGTCAGACCAGTGGTCCACATAGCCTGGTATCCTGTCTTCCGACAGTGGTCGGAAGGGAATGAGGGTGCTTCAGAGGGAATGAACATAACAGGCAATCAAGGATCCATCCCTTGTTGCCCATTCCCAGCTTCTGGCAACAGGCTAGGGACACTCAGAGCATGGTATTGCATCCCTCCCCATCCTGGCTAATAGCCACTGATGGACCTATTTTCCAGGAATTTATCTAGTTCTTTTTTTAATCCTGTCATAGTTTTGGTCTTCACAGCATCCCCTGGCAAAAAGTTCCACGGGTTGACTTTGTTGTATGAAGAAGTACTTCCAATTGTTTGTTTAAAATCTGCTGCCTATTAATTTCATTGGGTGACTGCTAGTTCTTGTGTTATGTGAAGGATTAAATAATATTTAATTAAAATTACTCCAGCCATTATTACTTGCTTTGGAAATTATCTACCAAGATGGGATGGATCTAAGTAGTAAGGCTGGTGGATTACTTTTGCTACTACATTCAGAGAAGACTATTGCCATTCTCTCTCTTGTAAATCTACTGTTGAAACTACTTGGGTCATTAAACAATGCCATCCAAGCATCTGCTACAACAGCAGTAAATCTTTGTCCAGCAATAGAAGCTACATTTGGATCAATCAGAGAGCTATCCATTGAAAAAGTACTGGAAGAAGCAAAGATTTCAGTCCAGAAGTTGATTAATGAAGTCATTTATATTGAATCCTTAAGTGATGAGGACAAGAAGTGTTTTTTAAGACAACTGAAAAAGTACACAGACTAGATTCTTAAAAATCTACAACAGTGACTTCTAGATTCTACTCAACCTCTACGTAGCTTTTACAGATGCCTGTCCTATAAAACATCAACAGTTGAGTGGAGTGAGGCACTACCAGCAATGGGACTGCCATGTGCTCGGGACATAATTCAGAATTTGAACACAGAGTGGAATATCATATGACGAATGAATGAAGATTTGACTTCAACTTCTTTTTTATCATCACTAGTGGCTCGACCGGATCTTTGTGCTATGTTTCCTGGGATGAAAGAAGTAGGAATTCATCTCTTGCTACTCCCAGTCACAACAGCTACAGTTGAGCGTTCTTTTTCATCATTGAATAGACTTTTGTTTTCTGAAAGAAGTCACCTTATGCCTGATCATGTGAATGAACTAATGAGCATATCAGTTGAAGGAATGGAAGTATCAGACACACGAGAAGCCACCTCTTTGGTTCTGACACCTCCCTTATAAATTCAAACACCCCCCCCAATTTCAATTCCTGGGGAAAACACTGGCTACATATACACTGCAGTGTTATTTTGGGATTTTGAAATATAATGGGCTCACTACTCCAAAGTCCCTGTAAATCTCATTCCATGAAGGATATGGGGCATTTCAGAATAGCGATGTATTTCAAAATAAGTGCTGTGGAGACAGTGCCTATTTTGAAATAACATCGAAGTAAGATACACAATTTACGTAGCTCAAATTGTACATTGTATTTTGACCTATGGTGCAGTGTAGACGCACCCTGAGTGTCCTTCAAATACACCAGAAAAATCACCTTGTTCTGTTCAGTCTGAGCTCAGGTCTGCAGCTGGCACTCATTTTGAGCAGCACTGACTTACCCAGGACTACTCATGTGAGTGCTAATCAGCGTAAGTTACAGAATGGGGCCTCCTGTATCCCAGCAGGATTTGGATTGCATATGATACATGGCACACTGTCTGCATTTAACAAGTAAACACATTCCTTCATAATAATCATGACTAACATTGCATTGGAAACACTGAAGTCTATTTCTGGCACAGACTGCTGAGATCATGACTTATTCAACTCCAGCAATAGCAGCTCTTCTCTTATAACAGCTTTGTTAGTTGGTCATTTCTTGTGCTCTGTGTAAGAAAGGATTAATGCCCTGTCTGTGTTTCCCTCTATTCTACAGCACTCCTTTGACCGTAGAAATCTACTTCATTTCTCCTAAATGACAGTAATGTACCTCTATGTCTTTCTACCTTGTATCTATATCTTCCTCTGGTAAGCTCACCTTTGTAGACATACCTTTAATGGGTGTGGTGAGCTATGCATAACTATGCATGTATATAAATGCATGTATATAACTGTTACAATTCAGCACAATAAATCTTGCTCTCTGCTTGTACTGGTAAGTAATCATAGCTTTAGCCTCTGTGTGTAAATCATTGTATGTGTATGTGAGTATATTTATAACACAGAAATCTAAGAAAAAATACCAATTGATCTGAACATTTCTATGCTTATATTACAGTACTAAGAGCATGAATTATCAATATACCACATGCTCCTACAAACCAAATAAAACCCTTCTAAAAAACAGCAAATTTGCTTCACTTTAACCCAGGCTGCAAGTATACAAGGGTGAGTCTCTGATGAGAATGTGCATCTCTACATACACATGTGACTGAATATTTTCTGCACCCATCAAGGAGAGCTGAAGATACTCAGCACCTTGAAAATCAGAACACTTCTATTTAGAAGATTAAATAAGATCTAGGCACTTCAGACACACAGCTCTGAAATGTTTGACACATGTCTGGCCTTTATGGGGGTGGCTTTTAATGTGAATGAGTCTGATTCAACTCCTGGCATTCAAACTGTGACTGCAGTGCATTGCCATTTGTATATTCAACACCTCAGAAGCTGCAAAGGGCAAATAGCACTAACTGTGTTGCTGTTGTAAAATAAGCCTGGTGCAGAGGAGGTGAAGTTTGGTTTGTGTAATGAGTTCACACATCAGCAGCCATGCAGGGGCTGTTCCTCAGGGCCAGGTAGCATGATAACGAATAGAAGCATTTCAGATCTACACGAAGAAAGGGTTGCCAGTTTATTTATGCTGGTAGAGTTATACCATCAAACCTTTCAGCTATGTCTACACTGCTGGTTTTGCAGGCACTGAGTATGCAAATGAGGTGTGGATTAGCATATCAATATACCTCATTTGCATAATTTATGTACACTGTTTTTGCCCCCGGGGCTGGGGGAGAGAAGTGTGGACGTTTTCTTTTTGCCTAAAAACCCCTTTTCCCGCCAGATCGGTAAACCTTCTTTTTTGGGGCATAAGGATCTGGCGTGAAAAGGGGATTTTGTGCAAAAAGAAAACATCCACACTTCATTTTTTTCCGCAAAAACCCTTTGGGCAAAAATTGCTTGCATAAATTATGCAAATGAGGCACAGTGATATGCTAATTCATTCCTCATTTGCATACCCATTGCCCAAAAAACCAGCAGTGTAGACATAGCCTCCAAGTATAGATGCAGCTTGTACCAACAAAGAAGTGCTTTTATCAGTGCAGTTTATACCAGTGCCTTAAGCAAAAATAAGTTATACCAGCAAAGGCATTTATATGCCAGTATAACTGCATCTACACAAGGGCTTTTTCTGGTGTAAATATGCCATTTTTTAAAACCATACCCCAGTCAACATTACTGTACCAGCAACATTTTCTAATGTAGACTTGGTCCAAGTGGGCTGGGGCAAGAAAGGGTTTATTAAGCCACAGGATACATGATTGTTACATTGGCGGAGGTTGGCAAAAATGGATTTGTTTTTGTTTGTTTTGCTGGCAATCCAGAAAAATCCAAAATTAAATTACTGTTGGATAAACTCCTCAACAATTTTTACCAAGTCCTTGGCAAATTGGAAAGTTAAACCAAAGTGGCTTGTTCAATCTGAAACAAAATATTTTTTATTTCAAACATTTCTAAAATTATGTGATTGCTTTTTGTTAAAAGAAGTCTTTCAGTAAAAGTTGTTTGGAACTAAAAAATTGAAACATTTCATTTTGAACATGTTAAAATGAAACAATGGCTTTTTCCAGGATTCTTTGCCTGAGACAGTTTGATAAAGCAGACATGAATTTATGAAACATTTCAGTGCTGACAAAAGAAAGTTTGGTGCTAAAGATTTTTGCCCATCTCAACTAATTGCTTCTATGCTGACAGCTGGCACTGAGCTTTTTGTGCCAGTACAGAGAGCTCTGTTTGATTCTGTGTGTCAGCATGGCTTTGTCTGTCTTTGCACGTCATGCATGCCTGTGCTTAAGGATTTGTATGTGACTGTATTCCAGTCAGCCCCTGTATTAAGACCGACAAATGTACAAAGAGAAGTGCCTACCAGTGCCAGTTATTGGATTTGAAGAAATTATTGAGTGAAATACAATGGTCATTGTTATGCAGGGGAGCAGTTGAAATGATCATAATGGTTCATTTTGGCTTTAAAATATGTGAGTACGTTCATATGCAGTTTTGTGTGTATTCGTCCACAATGGTGTGTGTCTGTGCCTGTCTAGTCCTATATCATTGGTGTTTGCATTGAGGGGTTGGATGAGAATCTTGTTTTGTTTTTTAATGTTGCTAGGCTTTGTCCAAGGCCTGGATTTCTTTTCTGGCTCTGTTTAGATTTTCTTCTCAGTGCCTGACACTTAAGGATAAGTTTTCAGAACAAAGTGCATCAATTTAATTTAACTCCCAGGAATCATGCAGCCAAATCCAGAAAAGGTAAAAAAGAATTGAGCAGAGAAATCCTGAGCCAGATTAAATATATCTTATAGAAGAACTGAAAATATACAATCCAAAATGGCATATATAGAGGCTAGCTACAGAAATTAATTTGATTCACTTTAGCACATTCTTGTCTGAGCTTTGATGGGCTGGAATATGTTACCCTGCTCTGGCATTGGATGTGTTTTGATGATCTAATTTTAACCGGAATATACTTTGCTGAGTTGTGCTAATCTGAGCCAGGACATTATGAATTGAGCTATCCTGAGTTGGGAAGGAGAACAGTGGATGACTAACACTGAAATGTCCAGAGCTGCATTGAAGTGAACTAGATGCATTAAAACAGATGAGAGGAGCTTTCCTTCACTTGATCTGATCCACCATACAGATGCCAAGGAAAACACTAGAAAGACAAAGTGGGTGAGATAATATCTTTTATTATTCTATTGGTGAAAGAGAGATGCTTTCAAGTTATTTAGAACTGTTTTTCAGGCCATCAACACAAGTTAGTCCAATAAAAGATGCTCTCTCATCCACCTTCTCTCTACAATTTTAGCACCAAGATAGCTACAACAACACTGCAAACAAAAACGGAAAACACCACTACTCAGTGTTCCTTATGCCTCCCTAAAGAATCTCCTAACTATAGGTCCTAGGGATTAGAAAATGTCTGGAGCTTGATCCTGTATCGAGGATAATGGGAGCTTTGAAACTCACTTCAATAGGAGCAGAATTCAGCCCTGGATGTTTCAGGAGTTTCTAACCAAGAATCTTAGAGAACTCTTTAATTAAGAGAAATGAGCATGGAATTATAATGTTTACTTCTCCCACAGTAAATTCCAAACTAGTTCTTGAATAGTAAAAGGAGGCCAGCATGACCTGTTTATTATTTGTAACAGGCATGTGCATTGTGATTGTGGTGATAGTGAAGGTAAGAAACTATGCAAAGACACGGAAAGAATATCTCCAAATCAAATACAGCGTCAAAGCTCAAATACAAAGTTATTTTTCTTTTCCTTTACACAGTGAAAATGCCACAGGTAAGAAAACTCATTATTTGACTGCAAATAAGCACACATTCCTAATCAGTGGACTTTGTAATCCAATTCACCCAGCACTCCCTATCTCCTGCCCCTACCAGCCAGGCTGTATGAAGCCAAAGGAGAAGGAGGAACATGACTTCCACCAGATGGATAAAGAGGCTTTTTTCAATTTATAGTATATTTAAATCCTGCCCTTGCATCTCAGCCTCTTTCATCGCCTTTATCCCCTCTTCATCTCATACATCCCTCCTAACTTATTTCTCTTCTCTCCTTTCTCATCTATATTTTCCCCTCTTTCTTTCTTTCTTTCTTTCTTTCTTTCTTTCTTTCTTTCTTTCTTTCTTTCTTTCTTTCTTTCTTTCTCTTCTCTATTTTAGTTATCTTTCCCTTCACTTTTGTTTTTTTTCTTCCTCTCTCTTTCCATCCCCAGTGGTTAAAACCTTCTTTCAGGAAAGGAAACAGAGAACAGCTGGACCTGTCTAAATTACTGACAAACCTTGGACATGTGGTTTGGCTGAGATCCCATGGCGCACAGCCAAATATCTCAATGGCGAAGAGCAAAGGAAGAACAATGTGTGACTTCACACACAACTGTTCCAGCATTTGGATGTGTTACAACTGTTGTAAAAGGGACTTTGATATACATATGAACTAGTTAGTAGTAATGGTAGTAATACGGTCATGCCTATATGCCCCAATTGCCAATTGTGCTAGGTGGTATACAAACCCAAAGCAGGAAACTAACTATTCCTGGCCAAAGAGCTAAGGGAATCTAAAAGGGCCCTACACTCTAAACCTGGAAGTGTGCCGGGCGTCGGCCCTGGAGGAGGAGCATGGCAGCTTCTGTGCACCGCGGGAGGGGGAGTCGGCCCCTGGGTTTGGGTGGAAGGCGGGACTGCACTGTAGCTGCGGATTTAAAGGGGCCGTGACTTGGTTCTTTGCGTGCTGGGGTTTTTGGTTTTTTTCGCTCAACCAAAATGTGTGTGTGGTTTGTTTGGGTTTTTTTGGTCAACAAAATGGTTCGAATTGGGCCCCACACTTCCTAAAGCCGGCCCTGAAAGAGCTTATAGTGTAAATAGACAAGACTGACACAGGGAGGGAGGAAGAAAGTATCACTATCCCCATTATACAGATGGGGAACTGAGGCACAGAGAGTTTAAGTGACTTGTCCAAAATCACACAGACATTCTGTGGCACAACTGGGAATTGAGCCTAGATCTCTTGAAGCCAAGTCCACTGCCTTAACCACAAGACCTTACTTCTTCTCAGATAGGTACTACATATGACACTGAGGGTACGTCTAGACTACAGAGCTTTTCCAGGATACCTCTGCCACATCCAAAGAACATGTCCACTTTTCTGAAAAAAATGTCTGAAAAGTAGACGCGTTTTGTCTGCATCCCTATAAACCTCGTGAAAAAAATGTCTGAAAAGCAGACGCGTTTTGTCTGCATCCCTATAAACCTCGTTTTACGAGTTAGAAGGGATGTTCTGAAAGAGGTTTTTTTTCTGACATTTTGTCTGTGTAGACAGGCCAAATGTCGGAAAAGCCTCTTTTGGAAGAAAATCGGAAAAAGATACATAAATTGAGGCTCACAATTTGTGTATTTTTTCCTACTTTTCTTTGTAGTGTAGACATAGCTTGAATTGCTCAAGCTACGTTGCTCAAATCAAGCAGGTAGAACAAGGAGAACTTGAAGTTACAATGTTACTAACCCAGCCCATAAAAACAAAGCCACAGAAATAGATTATAGTCTGCATGAAATTGCTAGCTATAAAAGTAACAACATATTTACAATGGGATCTGATGATTCCATTTCTCAATCTTTCTTTAGTATTCTATTGATTGTTTTATTTTATAGCACTAGGAGGAAGGAAAAAGGAAAGGAAATAGTAAGAAGAGTCTTCACCATCAAATAAATCCCACCCAATCTTTTCAGCAGACATGAAGTTTTAATTTTTCTCATTGGGCCACATAAGCTAGTCTTGATCTAATAACTGAAATGTATTTGATACTAATGAGCAAGCCCTTTGCTTGATGATAGCAGGGAAACACTTTCATAACTGATACTCAGTAAAGGTGATTCCTTCCCCAGTATGTAGCTAGTACATCTCTACCTGGTCAGGGAATGTCTTGTTAGGGACACTGGTGGTCTTCATACTCAGTCTTTGGAATTCCACTTCCACTGGATTATAAAAGCACTTCATCCACTGCAAGAGAGAGTCCTCCATTCTAGTATCCAGGAAAGGAATAGGCCTTTTTATACCCTCTAAAACATCTAGGGCATTAAGGCAGGAAGGACTTACTATAAGCAGCTAGTGGATTAGTGGGAGTTACCAAGATACTCAGCACAGTATTCAATTCCCTTTTTGCTTTTTTTTTTCCTTCACAGCAATTGAAGGTAGGAAGATACCGTAGTCGTGCCTGCGCTCATGGGCATGAGAAAGGTCAAGGTCACTGCTATGAGAAAACCACAAGCAAGATCACTATCAAGAAAAAAATTCTGAGGTGAGCTGCTGCAAATGAATCTTCTGTTGTTGTCTAGTGAAGTTTTCCTTTCTCAGCCCAAACTGTGTTATGTGGCATTCATCTCACACGCTGCAGTACAAAGGCAGTCAGTTTTTTCTACCCATACATAAACATACTTATCAATATACTTTTGAGAAAGGGAAACATCCTGGTTATTCATAGTCTTTGTAACACAAATTATTACTGTGAATCCAGTTCAGACATTGTTTTAAAAGTAGCATCTATTTTCAGCATCTATTTAACTTCTTCTCTTAAGCAGCACCCCCCTTGTGCAGGTTAACACAGACACTTCAAACTTGAAAGGTGGGTTTAGTTAGTCAATTAGTTGATAAGCCAGGGAAAATGAGGGCGGAAGCGTAGTGGGGGGGAATAGAGTGTGAGATGGGAATCAGCTGATTCCTTGCTCGTGCCCAGTTCCCTGATATGCCTCTGCCTCCTCTGCCCCCTCCCTCCCGGGGAGATGATGCTTTTAAGTCAGCTCCCCCCCAGCACCAGCTCCTGCTCCCCCCCTTTGCTGCCTCTCTGATAGAGACAGCAAGGGTGGGGGGGAAGCAACTAGTCCAGTCAGTAGTCGGCTATCTGATAAACATATGCTTGTTGGGATAGTCAACTAGTTGCTTACATTCCTACTTCCCAAACCCCAGGGAGGGCCACTTTCACTGACTTAATTCCCAACACTCCTATTCTGCTCTTAAAATCAGCTACGGAGTCATTGATCAGAGGTAACCTCTCCCTAGACATCTACCTCCTAAAAACCTTATCTCCATAGAGCTGGAAAGTCTCAGAGGGGTAGCCATATTAATCCGTAACTAAAAAAAAACCATTGTTTTTTAAGTTGTTCTAGGTCTGGAAAGTTACCCACATGCATCCCCTTGCTAAGATCCCTGTAAAACACAGGCCTGTGGTCCTCTAAAAGCTCATGATACTCTATGGCTGTGTCTAGACTGGCAAGTTTTTCCGCAAAAGCAGCTGCTTTTGTGGAAAAACTTGCCATTTACGGAAAAGAGCGTCTAGATTGGCACGGACGCTTTTTCGCCATTTTCGTGATTGGGGCTTTTTTGCGCAAAATAAATCTGAGCTGTCTACATTGGCCCTTTTGCGCAAAAGCTTTTGCGCAAAAGGGCCAATGTAGACAGCTCAGATTTATTTTGCGCAAAAAAGCCCCAATCACGAAAATGGCGAAAAAGCGTCCGTGCCAATCTAGACGCTCTTTTCCGTAAATGCTTTTAACAGAAAACTTTTCTGTTAAAAGCATTTGTGGAAAATCATGCCAGTCTAGACGTAGCCTATATATTTTGTTAATCTCTAAAGTGCCAGAGGGCTACTGTTTTTAAAGTTACAGACTAACACGCTACTAGTCTGAGACGTAGGAACGTGGGAGGAGGGCGGCCTGAAGCCCAGCTAGCTCCTGAGGAAGTGTGTGCGCAGCGGGAGGCGGCTGTGG